AGCAATTACATTGGCTGTTTAATTTGTATTACATTTGTACAGCAGGGTCAAAGTCGGTTTTACATTGATCAATACATTGTTCTCTTAGTATCTGAAAGTAATTATGTGCCTAGTTTTGTTTTAATGTAATGTTTATAATAAATTTATCTTCTCTATGTTGTCGCCGACAAGTTAATTACTGATACAGTGTAAAAAATTACATGTATTACATGAATTTACTTTTTATATAACATTCGAATAAACTTAAATACAATTTACGGCCGATTTATTGCAATGAATAACATGAGCATAAATATACAAAACAAAAACAAAACAGATAAAAACAAAAAGCAACATCAACATCATCATGAAAAAAAGAACGGTAACAGCAACATAAATAGCAACAACAACAACAATAACTAAAACACAACAACAAAACAACAACATAAAAAACTACAACATCAGCAACCTTATATACAAAATTAACTATGTTTAAAGGTCAATATGTTAAAGGTCAACTATCTTTTTCATCAAAAGTTCATCTGCTTTTAACCTTGACTAAAACACGTGTGTTGCCAAACGATAAACATTCTCTCTTGTTGTATATGGAGCTCTACATTACAAACCATTAGAAAAAAGTGAGCAATTAAAATGTCTCGACAATGCTTTTATTCTCATATCTAAATTGGTAATATGATCGGTGCTATCAACGCAATTAATTAAACAAGAGCCGTGATACATTGGAATGAAATAGGATATTGTCATATATCGGTTTTGGTTTGAAAAATGACTACGCTGAACTCTGGTTGGTATTTGCAATAGATAGAATAATTTTTAGACATATGTAAATCGTTCCGATGTTTCGATATAAATTTTTGTTTGCTTGTAAGTTATAAACGTTTGACACTTATGTTAGTATAATTATTATAGGGTATAGACATATGCTGACAAATAAGCTTGTGTGTATACTTTCGTGAATGCATAAAGTCTTCTTATCTTTACTTCGGACAAACAATATTAACGCTAATGAATAATTATATGTATTGAAGCACATAATGTTCATATTGGCGTAAAGACCTGCTAAGGAAGATTCTTCGAGAAAAATGGTAACAAACTGCAAACGTGTTGAGGCATTTCTTGAGAATTTAAAGATAGTGCAACATCTCTCTTGCCCCCTCCCCTTACAGGCTTACTCAATTTTAACCAAAAAATGATCCCGAGGGAATAAAATCACCACTAACTTCATTATTATTATCATCATCATCATCATCAGCATCATCATCAAAAACAAGAACAGCAACACCAACAATAATATTTAAAAAAAATACAACTCAAAACACAAACAAACCCAATTATTTATAAACTTTTCATATTATCTACAATATAAGCTACACTACCTGAAATAACGTAAAAGTATCCTTAATTTTGTTTCATGTCTTAAAAGTGAAACCAATTTCCAAAATTAGGGACATAAAGACTGTAAACATTTATAATTTTCTTTTCAAACCAAGTCTTAGATAATGCGTCATGCAATAAGGGTATAAAACTAATGCATGTTGTTTTCATTTTGCAGTGAAGTGATATTTTAACGCTTTTATGCGATAGTGATTTTGACATGAATGTGAACACACATGCATGGTCTAGATTTTTAATATTGGTGAAATTAAAGCTTGACCAGGATTTGGGAGTATTGTTTTGCCTGTATTTCGTTACAATATCTTACGTTTCAGCAAAGGTTGCTGTACCTACATGATTATATAACACACAATAACAAGAAAGATATCTATTACAAGATATTTGTCGAAGTATATAAATGGTAATGCTAAAGTAAAGCAATTATTTTGTAAAAAATGCTCAACTTAAATTTACAAAATTTACAAAAATTGAAAAATAAGATTACTACACCAGGGTAAATTGGAAATCGTAACTTAAGTTTAGTAAAGATTTTGCCATATATTTGCTCACTACTATTTCGTTATAAAGTTGTCGATCATCAAAGATGCCCCTGTCGACTTTACTTCCCACAACAATGGAAACACTGTTATCGGTGATTATATCCGAATATCAAAAATAAGCAAATATGCACAGGGACATTTTGCCGCCTGTTTTATAATTAACATATTGATCTGCCTGACCATTTACATGTACATGTAAATTATTTCTGTTATCCCGATATGAGAAATATGTTTCAATGTCCATTACACAATGTGCGAAGTGGGTAACATGTTATGTAAAAGCTTTTAACTTTTTTGTGTAATTTCATTGTTTTCTGAAAAGTCTGTACTTTTAGAATTATTAGAATTTAGTGATTTGCATAGATGTCAAAACAAACAATGCTTAAGTGCGTTTTTTCTTTCCGGGGTAACAACTCATTACAGAAAAATTCCAAAAAGTTAAAATTGTTTTGTTACTGCTGAAAAAATCATTTTATATATAAACTCTTAAAACTTACTGCTGCTTGAGAATTTATAGCCGCGCGTGAGCCTGAGCATTACGACACAATTGTACGTAAATAATGCACCGTAATTTTGCACAGAATTAAATAATGCGGCGTGTTCTAGTCGATATCATTGCATGTCGCGACACATAATTTAATTCGCAATGTCGTCTGCTGCGAAAGCCTGCGGATAATGTTTTATTTCTTTCACGTTGAAAAAATATCCCGTAGTCTGGTATACTGGGGACAATTATGTCATATCTAGATATCTATTTACAACATCTCTTATATTGACAATCCATTTTACTATACTTTATGAATTTTGACGATATATTTTACTATATTTCTTATATTTGAAATTTTTTACTACACTTTTTACTGTTTTTCAATATTTGACAATTGAACTATGTTTTACACCCTTAACAATCTATTTTACTATATACTATTATGAGCCTTATATTTGACAATCAATTATACGACATTTCATAATTATATTTGACACTCTATTTCACTTTACTTTGACACTCTTTTTAAAGTGAATAGGTTAATAATAAAAAAAAATCTGCAATCATGGACCCTCCAATGTGATACGTTAGTGCCATTCCATTAAAAGCGGCGTATTAAAAAATGTGTGTTCCCTAAACGAGAAAACAATAGGCGGAACTAAAGTTCTTATGTATTTTCTCTAAAACATTAAAAGTAACAGTAATGATATATTCTTATTAAACAAATATTACGATTTCTACTCTTTCAAAAAAAAAGGCTTGTACGTTCGAATTATTTTTTATCGTTTACGAGAGCTAAGGCGATAGTTAAATCACCTTGAATACAACCCCACAATTTTCAAAGATCGGAAGTTATCTGATATGACACTTAACATACACCCAATTTAAACAGAAATATGTAACATATAGCTTATCAAAGGTGTAAATAAAAAACAAAAACATGACTGAAAGGAAAAAAAACATGAAAGTGAAAATCCCTCGAGATTAATGACAGCAAGAACGAATTGTTAACATCCATATATTCGGTTACATTGGGTCTCTTCAAGAGAGATAATGGAAAGTGAAAAATCTGACATGCCCCCTAGCACCGGCTTAAGCGCTATTCAATCCTCGACAGTAGTTGTTTTGGTTTCAATGATCCCGAAGGACCAGTAGAATAAAGCAACAACTTGATGAAATATAGTTTATATGGTATACATTAAATTATCCCCTTTGTTAATTTACCACTTATTATGAAATATAGTTTATATGGTATACATTAAATCATCCCATTTGTTAATTTACCTCGTATTTTAAAGCTATTGTTTCTGTATCACACTATTGTAATCATATTGAACCATTAATAAGTAATTGTTTTTTTTCCTAAATAGTTCTTCTTCTCAATACATTTCACTTGTTTTAATTATAACCCCTATACATATAAATAAATAAATAAATAAATAAATAAATAAATAAATAAATAAATAAATAAATAAATAAATAAATAAAAAAATAAATAAATAAATAAATACTTTATGAAATATATCATATATCAATAAAAATGAAATCACCTTACTACTGTGCAGTTTTAGGTAATTTAAAGTCTTATAGTATACTTTCATACACATTTTTCAGATTTATTTAGTTTGAAACTCATTTAAAATTATATAATTATTAAAACATAGATTTGTACTTTTGCAAAGTGTTGACAACTGCAAATAATTGTTAATTGCTTTCAGGAAATTCTGGGTTAATCCATTTAATCACGTCAAAGGAGATTGCCACTAAAACTGTCCCTATTTTTTATTTTAATTTCCGAAATTGGTAATTGGAGATGAGCTATCAGCACGATTCAATGGAAGTGCTGCGTAGAAATAAAATGGCGATACAATGGATAAAGAGATAAAGAAATGATTTCTCGAATCTGCAAATCATTGTACAACTTTTCAAAACATTTCGAGAAAAAAAAAAAACACACACACAAAAAAGGAAAAAAAAAAAACAATTAAAAAACCAAAAAAAAAAAAAAACCAAAAAAAAAAAAAAACAACATAAAAAAAAAAAACTACACCCCCCAAAAAGGGAACCTCCGCCAATCCCACCTCACATTTCACCCCCTAAAAAGAAAAAAAAAACGTCAAGAAACAAAAAAATATACATGTAATACACAATAAGTTAGCATTTATTGAGACCTCAGTCTATTTCTACATATTGCAATGAAGTAAGAAGAACTTATATGTATATTTTATGCATATGTTTATTGAACACTATGCTCTTAGAACATTTGTTTTTTTTTTAATATAAGTATGAAAAGTTATAAGATATAATTCAAATAATAGTAAAATAAATAATCTTAACAAATATCAACAATACCAAGACGAACCTTTTTGTGTTTATAGTGTTTATATGATGTAATAGTCACATACTAACAATAAAAGTAAGGTTTTTTATTCAGCGAAAAACAAATTAACTTACTTCAACTGACAATGCAATCAATACATAGTACTTCTTATCCTTTTGCGTTTATAGTTCTTTTATGAAATATAACATACACAAAAACAAGAAAAAGCTCGCTTTTTGTCATCGGAACAAAGACTTACTTCTTATCCAAACATATCCGCTTAGACAATCCAATCTTTTAATAAACACAGATATTCTGTTATATAATTCACAAGACAGAAATGTCTATCGAAGATATCTTCCACATGCATAGCATAGTTTAATAATTCATTGGGAAATATTTGTTTCGCCTAGTACGTTTTACGATTTCTACACTCCTGCAGTTGACGGTTCTACACAAATTGTATTTATTGAACACATGTTTATAGCCAGCGATGGTATTAGTGACGCAATAAACAAGACTAAATGCATTTTAAATTCGAATGCACCGATCTCATTAATGTTTTGTATGCAAATTTCCTTTTCGTTTTGATTTAATAGATCAAAAACTCAAATCAGGACATATTAACACCAAATCTGTTTCATAATTGAGAAATGGTTAACATGCTAGCGTATATTAAGCGAAATTCATAGAAAATGTATGTTTTATTTCTGAGTGTTTATGAAATATAACTTAACAATGATAATTGTTGGACTATTTACATAAGCGAATAGTGAGGATAAACACACTCAAAAATGTTTTTTTTTTAAAAGCACCCAAATGAAAAGACTTTCTTACATGACAGAATCCAAAGTCCCTGGCGGGATTTGAACCTACATCTGTAAGGGGTCAATTGGTTTGAAGTCAACGACCATTTCCACTCGGCCACGGAAGCCAATTTTAGTATGTTTTCAGCTATTAAATTATTAGAAAACGTTTATTATAGAAACAATTACAATTTAGAGTGGTTGAACATACTTGTTATAGAAACAATAATTATGATACTTTTATAGAAACAATTTTTATATAAAATTGTTGAACATGCTTTTAATAAAAACAATATTTATTATCATTAGAATTTATTAAACATACTTTCATAAAGAAATGAAATGTCTTTTTAATGAATTATGGTGATGATACATTTGATTAATTTATATACATACAATCTTGGAATATGATATATGTATTATACTAATAAACGAGTAGCATACAAACATTTTTTATCAAGATATCAACTGGTGAATCACTAGATATCAATATTGACGGATTATATTTCAACATTTGTATACAATACAGAACCTTTAATACAAAAAAGTATGATGATGAATTTGACATAACAATGAAATGGAATAACATGGAATAGATGATATCAGTTTTTAAAAATTTCCCGAAAGAAAAAATAATATTTCATTTGCTAATTGGATTCATCAACCTTATGTTTTTTTTTGTTTTATAGCTTAATATGCCTTTTCTGCATTATTTTTCTATGACAATTTCATAAGAACCTTTAAAAACTATTTTAATTAGGCCATGCATAATAATAAAAACTTGTTTAATTAAGTGATCTTAAAGCAGAATAAAATTGTCATACTAACAATAAAAAAATGAATTCATTTTTAATACCTTAATAAGCGCATAAACTATTGATTCTTACAATATTTCTAAATCGACCTACTGCTAATTAGCCAACCCATGAGCCAAGCATCTAGATAAAGTGATATTCCATGTTCATCGCGTGTTAAACTGTATTCTGCCTTAATATATTTCATATGAGAATTCAGTTTTTACACCCGTCTATATACACTTCTATGTAAGAAAATCCTTGATTCTTGACTTTGTTATGGACGTCCGTGGCCAAGTGGTTAAGGTAGTTCCATTCAAACTACTTGCTTGCCCCTCGTCGTTGTGGGTTCCAGTTTCGCCAAGGACTAAGGATGATTCATTATTGTGAGGATGCTATCCAGCTTGCTTACTGAAAGTCGGTGGTTCTACTCAGGTGCGTGCTGATGCCTGAAATTATGCACAGACTACCCCTGAGAAATATAAGCGGGAAATGCTTGTCTACCAACAAAAAGTCAAAATATCGTACACCATTATTAGACGCATTCAATATTGTTTTAACCCATTTCAAATAATCATGAATCTTTTGTTAACGCATTTTGGAGAACTCAACACAAATAAACAAACTCCATTGAGGTCGAAAAGTCTAAAAACATAAAGAGATAAACTGGGTCACTTAAGGCAGAAAGATATGCAAAAGAGTTGCAACGTTTTTTAATTTGAACAATTATTCCGGAAAAGTGAACTGAGCGAATATTCTAAAATTTTGAACAGAAGTTATTGAGTCGTGACATTAATGAATATTCATCTCGAAACGGTAATAATTATTTCCGCTCTCGTCATGTCAGGAGTCCCTTTAATGTATTTTTAATATCTACGTAAGCATAAAATATTCAATATAATACCCTAATGATTGTCATATTTTGTTAACAGAAGACAAGAAAAGTCACCGATTTGAAAGCATAATATCTCAAACTGTCATACTGAAACTCACTTTTTGGTTTCTTATGACTATCCTATTAACTGGATAATGGAAATTAATCAAATTATTATGTTGTGCCATTCAACCATATCTCTACTTTGGGTTGCTTTCCTTAATTGATGTTTCGTTTTTGTTTTTGGGTTTTACGTCACATCGACACAGTATAGGTCATATCGCGACGTTCCAGCTTTACTGGTGGAGGAAGACCTCAGGTGCCCTTCCGTGCATTATTTCAGGCACGAACGGGCACATGAGTAGAACCACCGACGTTCCGTAAGCTAGCTGGATAGCTTCCTCACATGAAAGAATCCAAAGTCCCTGTCGGGATTCGAAACCACAGCAGTGAGGGGCAAGTGGTTTGAAGTCAACGACCTTAACCACTCGGCCACGGACGCCCCTCTTAAATGATGGAAAAAGAAAGCTATAGTTCACGTTGATGTTTTTATAAGTAATTTAAACACTCATGACATCGCTGTAAGCGGCGTCCAAATCAAGATCTGAACAAAAAACATGTTTCGTATGATTATGTAGGCTGAAATTCATACAAAGATGATATGGCTTAGGTTAAAATTGCCTGCAGAGATACAGACAAACAGTGTAAACTCAATATTTCCCTAGATTGTGTAATCATGAGAGTAAAAAGACGTGGAATACAGACATCTCAATAAAAGTAACATAGATAATGCTTAAAATTGGCCTCAAATTAGCTAGACTAACTGACAAACAAACAGATCAAAAACAATATGCTCTCTTTTAAGGTTTCGCTTAAGGAGTATGGAAAAAAAAGAATCTTGATATTACTAAAAGGACAGACATTTTCCAAAATCAATTCAAAATTGTCATTGGCATCGTCTGCAATTTCCCTGCTTATGACGTAAATATAAGTACTTTCAGTGACAAAGGCAATTTCATAAAGTACAAAATTAATGTAAAAACGATCAAATAAGAATGTCTACAAACTGTACAATGGTTTAGGAATATGTTAATATCTTGTCAGGTTAAAGTAATACCGAGAATGTGTAACAGTACAGTAATATACACATAGATTCCGATACAGTATAATCTCTCCTGAGCAACACCCTTTGGAATACAACGATTTGGTTATTGTTGAGAGGTGTTTGTTCTAGAAATAAAAATTACTGTGGGTCGTTATTATAGGGCGAAATAATACTGTAGTTGTGAAGAAGTTATTGTTCTAAAGAGTGTAACTGTATTTAAGGTAAAATTTACTATGCGTCCTTATTATACCAATAGTATTGTTGTAAAGAAGTTATTGTTTTACAGAGTGTTGTTCCAGAGAGGTAAGATATGCTGTGAGTCGTTATAGTAGGACGAAATCATACTATTGTTGTAAAGAAGTTAATAAGTAAAATGTTCTAAGAGGGTTGTCCCGAGAAGATTGCAATATATGTGGTAATTTAAAACCAAGTCTTAAATTTTAATATTGTTCGAATCTATACAAACTTTTAAATATATAGTTTGAAACTAATCAAGCAGTCAATCAGGGTTTCTGTTTGGAATATCTTATTATTTATATCCAATATATGAAGCCAACTCTTAATCCGAATTAAAACTTGTTTGCAACAATCCATCTTTGCTTTTTTATCTGATTTGTAAAGAAATGTCTTTCACTAAAATTTATATGCTTTAATAGTAATAACTGTTTTTTTTTATCAAGGTAAAATTATACAAAAATGTTGAAAAACAAATGCGAATATATGCCATATACTCCTTATGGTGTGTATAAGTAAAATAATTTCAGAACAACAATTTTAGACAGCAAATATGGCAAAAATCAGTGAAAGCGGTACTTAAAATTACATATTTTAGCTAGGTTTTTAAAGAAGAAACAAAAGAAATACATAAAAGCCAAGCAAATAAGCATAATTCATAAAATCCATTACCAAAGTTTTCTCGACAATGACAGACAGATACATTAAACCAAACTGAATTTTTTTACATGAAAAATGTGACTTTTTGTCGATGATTTACTGATTCATCTTGGAAAATGTCATTTATAAAAAAAGAGAACTATTTGACATTCAAGGAATCACACACAATGGTACAAAAATTAAACACGCAGGAACATAACTTTATGGCTCAATTATTTAATTAAGAAGAAATCTGATATGTTATATGACAAATTGTTTGCAATATAACAATCGCCTATATAATATATGTTATTAGTTATAAAGAGTTTTGACAGTTTATATGGTCCTATGTAAATGACTGTAGATATAACCTGGGCCGCTATGCGAGGGTTATATTGCAAACATCTGTATATGTACGGCCATATAACATGTCAAGAATCTTTATAACGAATAGATAATTCAATAAACTTTATTTGTTAAGGACAAAAAAGATTTCATTAAAACTGACAGCAGTCATGTATATAAAACTATATTAACGTCACGAGTATCCAATGTGTCGTATTATAAATACGAGTATAGGCTTAAACAGAGCCATAAGGGCCTCCGTGGCCGAGTGGTTAAGGTCGCTGACTTGAGATCACTGGTCCCTCATCGCTGTAGGTTCGATCCTCACTTTGGTCGAAATCTTTCATGTGAGGAAGCCATCCAGCTGGCTTACGGAAGGTCGGTGCTTCTACCCGGGTGCCCGTTCGTGCCTGAAATAATGCCCGGAGGGGCACCTGGGGTCTTCCTCCACCAATAAAAGCTGGAAAAAAATCGACGAAAAAATCTCGGCGGGACGCTCTAGGATGGCCCGACTTGAGTGTACAGTCGCCCATGTGGGCTTTCCGGCGGCGACCTT